GCGGCTCCTGCTGCGGCTCCTGCTGCAGCTGCTGCTGCAGCAGCTGGAATGAACGTGTTCCGCAGCTTCGACTACGAGACCTACTTCGGGCCAGGCGTTCGCTACGAGCCCATCAATGATGGCTTTCTTGTATTCCCTCCGATTTACCCAGACCGCGTGTTTATACTGCAGGCCTCAGAGCACCCGCTGCTGCAGCAGCAGCAGCAGCAGCAGCAGCTGCAGCAGCAGCTGCAGCAGCAGGCGCTGGGGGAAGAAGACGAAGAGGGCGGCGGAGCCGAGTGGCTCAAAGCCACGCCAGCAGCGAAGGCCCGCAGAGCTGCTGCTGCTGCTGCTGCTGCTGCTGCTGCTGGGGACTTCGGGGCCCCCGAATTTGAACTGGGGGGCCCGCACGGAGCCCTGGGGGCCCCCGGACTCGTGGCCAATAGGGCCCCCTCATATTTAAATCCAAAAAACCCTTTTTTTAGAACTGGAAGACAAAAGGAGCGCGAGCGCAGAGAGTCCGATTCAGGTGACCTCAACGCGCAGTTCTGCTGCAGCTGCTGCTGCTCCCGCAGCTGCTGCTGCTGCAGCACGTGCTGCATTTGCCGCTGCTGCTGCAGCTGTTGCTGTTGTTGCTCCAGTTGCTCCCGTAGCTGCTGCTGCAGCATGTGCTGCAGCATGTGCTGCAGTTGCTGCTGCAGTTGCTGCTGCTGTGGGCAATGTGCTGTTGCAGGGCCTCAGCAGCGGCAGCAATGGGGGATGGACTCTGTACAGGGGGATATACCGAGGGGCCCCCTTGGGGCCCCTAACGACCGTTTCAAGGTGCGTGCAGCTCCTAGTTGCTGCTGCAGCAGCTGCAGCAGCTGCAGCAGCAACTGCTGCTCGTGCTGCTGCTGCGGTGCGGTCCGCAGTCTCTGCTGCCCTCAGTTACTGCTGCCCCTGCTGCTGCTGCTGCCTCCGTCGCTGCTGCTGCTGCGCAGGAGCTGGTGGACTCTATAGACTGGACGCGAGAGCACCCCACCCTGCAGGACAAAAATCATTACAAACGGTGAGGTGCTGCTGCTGCTGCTGCCGCTGCTGCTGCTTGTGCTGCTGCAGCTGCTCTTGTTGCTGGCGCTGCTGCTGCTCTCTCGAGCCGCTTCTCGTGGCCCCACTTTGCTTCTTCAGCGCTGCCGCCTCTGAGGCAGATCTGCAGCTTCTTGCAGTTCATACATGTTCGTTTTCAAGGCCCTCCCAGCTAACTAGCGAGCCAGCTAGCTAGCTAGCTAGCTGGCCAGCTAGCTGAGGACCGGAGCCCCGTTCGTTAGTCTGAGCTGCAGTTTTCTTTGCGCGTGGCAGCTGTGGGGCGCATGCGGGGGCGGGCTCCAGGTGTACGTACACCCCGGGGCCTGTGGGGTGTCACTACAGGTCCTTCCTGGAGACGGGTTTGGCCGATCCCAACCGCAACAGCGACAACTATTTCGATCCCCAGTTCTTCGGGGCTGTGGAGGGGCCCCCCTACGCAGCAAGTGCAGGGGCCTCCTTCTCGTGGGCCCTCTACTGGGTCCCGTGGCTCGCCAAGAAACACCCCCGAGGGGGGCCCCCCATCAAAAGTGAATGTTTCTGTTTGGGGGGCGTCGACCCCATGCAGGTACCCTACCTCGCTCCGGGGGCCCCCTTTGGGGCCCCGGGGGCCCCCCAAGGGGGCCCCTCGCAGGGGCCCCCTCGAGGGCCCCTTCAGGGCTTCCCACTGGGGCTGCATGCAGCGGGGGCCCTGCTGCATGCAGCACTTTGCATGCAAATGGGCTAGCATGCAAAGTACTGCATGCAGCGCTCTGCATGCAAATGGGCCTCTCTGTGTTTGGCTGCTGGGGCTGCATGCACTGAATTGAGTAGAGAGAACAGTGCATTTTCCTCTGGGCTTCCGTGGCAGTTTATGTCTAAATTTTTTGTTTTTTCACGCAATTAATTAGCTCTTTTTTTGTGCTTTTCGTTTTAATTCCTTTTAAATTTCTTTTGTTTTGCTGCAGCTTTGGTTTTACCCCGATGGCACCCCCAGCTCACTCCCCGGCTTCTGCTCCCTCAAGCTGGTCACCCGCCCTGGCTGGCACTTGCCATTCCGCATCAAGTTGTGGGTGCAGGGGGCCCCTGCCTTGCCTTTATTCGAGCAGCAGCAGCAGCAGCAGCAGCAGCAGGGGGCAAAACGCAGGGGCCGGCGGCGGGCGTCGCAGGCCGCGGTGTTGTCCTGTTCTGAGCTGCTCGCGAAACCCTCGAGGGTTTGCGTCGGTCCTGTTTGGAGAGAGTCCGCAGAATGTGTGGCTTATTGCTACAGCTTTTGCCGGTGCGTCTGTTGCGTGTGGTGTACGTACACCGCAGTGCAGGGAGCAGCACTTCAAATAGACACCCCGGGCCTCCCAAGCCCGCGTTTGCAAAACCCTAAACACTAAAAACTAAAAGGCGCTTCATTTGGACTTTTAATTGCCTCAGACTTCTGGACAAAGGCAGCTACGTGGTGAGTGAAGAGCCCCCGCTGCCGCCCGCAGTGCAGCCGGAAGCGGGAAGCCCCATTTGCTTCAACCCCCAGACCGACGTGGTCTTAGACGCATTTGGAGGAGTGCAGGTGGGGGTGGCCGTGGGCGAAGAGGTCTGGGAGTGGGACGACGGGGCGTGGGACTTCGAGCAGTGGCTCAAGCGGCAAAGTGCCTACCCCGATGACTATGAGCTCGAGCAGACGCTGCCTCCGAAGTGAGCTTTTAAACGAGAAAAAATGCCCTAAGAAATGCAGTTTCGCTTGCGATTTGCGCAGCAGTTGCTGTACGCATGCATGCAAGCGTGCAGACGTACTTTACGCCTGTGTGCATGCATGTGTAGTGCTGCATATTCGCACACTTTGGATGCACATGCATGCATATGCTTGTACACATTTAGACATAAAATATGCGCAAATTCATGTAAATAGAGAGCATATTCACATATTGTCCCTATGGACGCATGCATACTTTTATTTCGAGCAGATACACACACACAGCGCCCATACACGCGCGTACACTCCGTGCAAGTAATGCGCCCACTTAACAAACCAGGCAGGAACAGATCTCAGCATGCATGCATATAATATATATTTGAATATAAGTATTGAATATACATTTAATGCATACTTAATACATATTTAGTATATATTTAGTGTATATTGAAATCCACATTTCGCCACCACATTGAGTGGAAACACGCCTGCGAGCTGCAGGCGTGAGTGGCTGCGCCTGTCACTGCAGCAGCTAAATGGCGCAGCAAATTCAAGTTGCGATGGGCTGGCTCGAGGTTGGGTTCAAGTGTGTTTTTGTGTTTCCAGTTTCACCCACAGTCCTTATTTTGAGAATTTCAAATACGAAGATGTCCCTGACAAGCATTTTTCCCGTTATTTGCCGTCGGCGCTGCCCCCAGCGGTGACGGGGGAGAGGCTGGAGGCGGCGCTTCTAAGGCCGGGAAACCCTTACTAACGCACAAGTACTAATTGCACATTATTTGGGACCTTTTGGCCTAAACATGCAGCAGCTGGAAAGGCTAATTCATTGGGATTCGAGTTCTAGATCGCAGGCTGCGTTTGGCGCACTTCGCTGTACAGAATGCTGGCAATTCAATTTGCACAGACTCTGCGAAACCACGAGTTGCACATCGCCAAAGTTGCTGCCTCCGCTATTTTTCAGTCTCTGTTATTCTTCTTGTCGACTTCAGCTTTTATCTGCTCCCTGGAATTCCAGTTTAATGCCCGTCTTGCGTGGATCTCCACTTCAATTTCCGCCTCGCACCTCTTTGCCTTCCGTGTCGACTTTTCTGTGCGAAGGGCCCCGCCCTAAGTTTGCAAGTGATAAATATTCGATAGTTTAAAAACAAAGAAGTTCCTCCGGTGCCTTTTAAATGGAGCACCGGGCAACGGCTCGGCCCCCGGTCGCAGGGGGCCGGGCGCCTCTTAGTTGTGCGGGGAACGGGGCCTCCCCGGCTTGCAAAGAGCCCAGCTACAATTAAAACTTGCTTAATTTATTTAACTTATTGCTTTAACTGGCTAGGGGAGAGCTTCCGGAGTAGATCTGCGCGCTGCGGGCAAGCACTGTACAAGTGTGCAGCTTGGCGGCAGCCCGCGGCGGGCCGCGTCGCCGCACTTCGCATGCAGGCGCTCCGCTGCCGCGCCTGCAGTCGGCATGCGTGCATGCATGCGTGCATGCATGCGCGCATGCGCGCAAGCGTTCATGCGTGCATGCATGCGCGCACGCGTGCATGCGTGCATGCATGCATGCGTGCATGCATGCGCGCGCGCGAGCGTGGGTGCGGCTAGCTGCTGCTGACGCCGTCGCCGCAGCAAATGAGGGAGCGCGCCGCGTAGGCCGTGGCCAGCAGCGACATGACGCATGCAGCGAGGGAAAGCACTGCAGCAACTACGAGGCCTATGCCGGCCTCCATGACTACGAAGAGGCGCGCGTACTCCGCGTTGCCCAGGGGGTCTGCAACGACTGCGGCGTAGATTCTCGCGAAGACCACGGCCGTGATGAAGGACAGCAGCGCCCCCACGCCGAACAAAACTATCATCAAAGTGTTGCAGATCTTTTCGCAGCAGCACGCGCGAATGTTCATCAAGATCGCCCCCAGCACGCACAGCGCCACCCACAGCGTCGTCAGCGCCGGCGTCGGCGAAACGCCCCCCCCGCCCGCCCCCAGAAACGCCCCGATCGCCGCGTACAAACCCATGCTCTCCACCATCCTGACAGAGCAGCAGCAGCAGCAGCAGCAGCAGCAGCAGCAGCAGCGGGGGGGAGTGAGCACGGGAGCAGCTTGCGGAAACAAGGGGGCGGCAGTGGCTGCTGCGGGCTGCGCGGACGGGCCAGCAGCCGCGGCGCCAGCAGCAGCAGCAGAACCGGCAGCAGCGGCAGCAGAAACGCCAGCAGCAGCAGCAACAGCAGCAGCAGCAGCAGCAGGGGGCTTACAGGGCAGCTCCCGGGACGGACTCGCCGCTGCTGACCTTGGCAGCTCTGGACAAGACGACGGAACACACGAAGGAGAGGACGGAGGCGAGGAGAAGACTCGGGCTGTTGAGTTGTGCAAAGAAGACATCTGCGGAAATCTCTTCGGGGGCCTCGCCAGTGACTGCTGCAGCAGCAACGTCGAGGTACTTGCGCAAATATGCTGCAGTGACGAAGGTCGAAATCACGCAGAAAGCTGTTTGGACCCAGCCCAGGATGCAGAGGGGGCAGAGGAAGATGCCGCAGACGAAGAGGCCGAGAGTGACGAAAACGCCGCAAGCTGCAGCCAAAACCAAGTGAAACCAGCCTATAATGGTCACGGCCTTCGCGGCGCTTCCGTTCACCAGAAGATCCTTCAAGCTCTGGTCCATGTTCTCGAGGCTGCTCACCGGGTCCGGCGCCGCGTCCGAGCCCAGAAACACCATCAAAACCCCCAACGCGAACTCCAAAGACAGAGCCAAAGCCCATATTCCCACCCCGGGGCCCTTGTAGTTGGGCCGGGTGCAGCTGCAAGCCATTGTGCTGCGCTTTTGCACAAACTCGACCTGAACAACGCGCGAATCAACGCAGGACCACTCCGAGGCCAGAACTCCTCTGCACGCCTCCCGTCTGCATGCCAAGCGCCTCCGCCAGTGCAAGTTTTGTCAGAAAAAGTCAAAACACGCGTTCGAAACAACATGCACCGACAGACAGCACTATGTCCGTTCGGGAAACGCCAAATGCTGAAACCGCGCTGCGTTTACACCGGATCGATCTCACGCCAACAGCGCTTCGCGGAACTGCCAGAACAACTTATTCGATAAACACCAAACGCGTTCTACAAAAACAAAAACGCCGCGATAAGACTAGACACAAGTACAACTGCTGGAATTCGTTCCTGTGGTCATGAACCACCGCATGCCGCTGGCGGTCAGGCGGCCTCCCTGTGTGCGCGCAGCTGTTCGATTCCTTTCAACAGCAAAGGAAAACTCTTAATATTTCCCCAATTTAACATATGTGCTCCTTTACTCTTTAGAATTGGAAGGAAACGCGTTGTTTCCTGCTCCCGCTCATCGTGTCTTAAGGCTTGGTGGCTCATTCGCTGCGAGCGTACGAAACCAGTACGCCTCAGCTTTCAGACAGCCGCGCTAGCGCGGTGCCTTCATTGAATTAATACCCTCTTTCCACAGCATCTGTGCAACTTCAGATATGTTTTATTGCACATAATTGCGCAGTGAGGCAGTGAGCAATCAGGAAGCAAGGTGTGCATTTGCCCACGGTCAGCGGCTCGCACACCAGCTCGTATTCGTTTTCACTTTGTCCAGGGAATATGCACGTTTCTAGCCCACGCGTCTTTAGCTTCCTAATTCCCATAGAAAACTTTCATTATGAAAAGGGCATTTGAATAGTTGGCAGGCAGGAGCTGTGCTACAACAGCTCTGCCGATGCAGTAGGCAGCACCACACACCTCATCCATTACGCTGAGCAGCAGCTGCCGCAGCACAGTTTGCAGTTCATGTCCCTACCTTCAGAATGGTTACTTTTCGTGACGAGTGGCAGCCTGCCCTGCGAACAATTCAATTAGTTATTTTATTTTACGATCGTTCGTCATTTTTGTGGGCGTCTATGTCCAGAAACTTCAGTGGAATGTCCGCATTTCCTTGTCTATTCACCTCCATTCTCCTGGCCGGCCACCGAGCCAGACGGCGCAAGAATGCAGAAGACACCAGCTGCCTCTTCTGCGCCGGACAAAAGAGAAAGAAAGACGAGAACAAACAGCAGCGCAGCCGGCGAGCTGCAGCAAACCAGCTGAGCCTCGCAGGCAGACGCCATCGCTCCATTCATTGCAAGAAACACTGCAACAAACTGCATCAAACTGCAGCAAATCAGAAATGAAACCAAGTATAACTCACAAGCCATTCACAAACTGCGCTCCTACTGAGCCACAAAGCAGGAAAACCTCAGCGAACTTGTGCATTCACGTTTCCAGCCCGATATGTGGAAATGTCTGTGTCCAGCTCCCAGCAAGCTGCAATAGGCAAGCTCTGTGGCATTTCATTCTTATCCCAGTGCATATTGGAATAAATATCATATTGGAACAAATATCAGGAATAAATGCATTAATTCCCACTAACGTCGCTAGATCTCTCAGGCATTGGCCGCAGAAAGCGCAGAATCTCGAAAAGTCGAAATAGCTGCTGCTAGAGTTGCTGCTGCAGTGCCTGGCTGTCGCAGCTGCTGCGGGCGTTCTACTTGTAAACTCTAAAGCAAATCGGCACAAAATAAAAAAATGTCGTCGAAATGCAATTTCAACTTTTAGGAGAAAAGGAGTTTCGTTTGGCAGCTCTCCGCGCGCGAACAGACGGCGGGCGGGCTCTACTGGGAAAGCGACTTGATGTGGTTTTGCAAGAAGATGAGAGCCTCGCTCTGTTCGCCGAAGTCCGTAACTGCAACACAAGAGGCCCCCACGACTTTGCGAGCCGCCCCCTCGTTGTCAATGCGACAAAGACCAGCCCACTGGCCCAGTTCCTTGCTGTCCGCCACTTCGATCAGCGGAATCCCGTGCTCCTTGCAAAGACCCTCCACCAGCTTCTTGTACGCCGGCTCTGAACAACTCTCCGCCAAGAAACACGCCTGTGCCCGCTTCGAGTCCAGGGCTTTCGCCACTTCATGCAGCCCGCGGGCCAGCCCGTCGTGGATCAGCGCGTTCTTCAAAACCTGAATTGCAAACGGCGAAACGCAGGATCTTGCTGCAGTGCGAAAGCGATGCAAAAGTGGGGGAACTCGGAAGAAATCGACAATGTGTGGGAATAAACAGCAAATAAATGATAAAATTATCAAAACAAATTACTTGGAGAGAGATAAAATCGCAAAATGCAAACATGAACTGCCGCGACACCGCACCCCAACCCTCTTTGCAACACGGCGGAAGCGGGGGAAAGCGCAACGAAACGAGCTCCGATCGGAGCAAAAAAGAGTCAAATAAAAATAAAATAAATGCCACAGAAGGTTAGACAACACACGCAGCTGGAGAGCATCCAGGCATGGCTCTTGTTCAGGTTCTCAGTGTGGGGAATTGGCGGAGCGGAGTCGAAAAAACGGGGAAAATACACATTCAACAAAGGACTCCACAGGAAAATGGAAGCATTTGGCAAATGTATTTGATCTATTTACCCTCTTAATGGCGGTTTTCAGGTCCTTGACGTCTTCCTCCTCAGGCTCGACCTGAACTTCCTCAGGGGCGCCGGCGCTCTCCACGTCAGACATTTTGAATTACTTTTCACGGTCAACTCGAAACAAAACGTCGAGCGTCTTCCTCGTGCAAAGCAAAAACTATAAACATGAAGAACTTCCAAGATCCTCATCCCGCTTGTGGGCACCCACATGCACGCCAAGCCAACCCAGCCCCTACGCATGCAGCCCTGTTCCTAGCTTCCCGAATGCAAATAAATAAATATTTTAAAATGCTGCACGCGCTAATTACCTGTTTAACAAATTGAAATCTCTTTTTTTACTTTTCCACTTGCTGTAAGCTGCGGTGTTTGCCGCCTGTGGACTCCCCCGGTGTTAGGTGCTCCAGTTCACCACTTCCGATTTCAGAATCTGCCGATCTGTCATTTTTGAGAGAGAATTCTCGAAAATATTAGTTTTTATGAAAGCAAAGGCTTTTTTAAAAGATTGAATTGGAGAAATGTCACAGAAAGCTTCGGAATTTCCATGCAGCACTCTCCCCGGACATGGCCTGTGGTTCAAAACACTACTTGAAACCAAGCTAGATCTCAGGAAAACGCGAACAAGTAAATAATTATATAATTCATATTGTTTTTCTATATTTTTAGATATTCAAAGAAAGGATTCTGCATCTGTTTGCTGCGGCAGCCGCCAGGCCTCCCTCAATTTCCGTTTTTGCCTTTTTCTGCGGGATCTGCAGCAATCCAGAGTCTTTTAAGGCTTTCTTGTTGGTCTTTGCAGCGAAAAGACATTTTAAATAATCTGCTGCTCCAAATTTTGCTGCAGAAAGGCATTCGGAAAGCCCCTGCTGCATGCACTTTGCTGCGCATTCAAACGAATAAAGGCTTCAAGGCGAAGTCTAGTGCAGCAGCAGTTTTGAACTGCAGCACGAAATTGCCCACGTCAGCAGCTGCTGCTGCCCCGCTTTTGCTGCTGCAGCAAACCAAGCCATGGCCAAATCCTTCTTGCTTCATTTACAGCTCAAAATGCCATTTTAATTTATTATTTTCTCCGAAAAAAGTCTTTTAATGGAATTTCGAAAATGGATTTTTCATAAGCCCTCTGCTGCAGGACTTTGCAGCTGTGGGGCGCAGCTGGTGGGTTTTGGAGCTAAAAAAGAAAAGCTACAAAACCCAATTTTAGTTTTTTTATTCTCCACACAAAAAGACTTTTTAAAAAGTTCAAAAGAAACAAAAAATGCTTTTTTGGGACTTTTTGTGGCCAAACTATTCCAAAAATTTGAACTTCGGCTTAAAGTCTAATGCTACTAGCTGCTGCCAATAGACTGCAGCAGCCGCAGCAGCAGCAGCAATGTGTGTCTGTCTGCAGCAGCTACGCTGGGCGCCTACCAAGCCGTCTACTTAGCTGCTGCTGTTACTGCTTCTGCCTCTGCTGCTGCCGCTGCTGCTGCCTCTGCTGCTGCTACTGCTGCTGCTGCTCTCTCTGCTGCTGCTGCTGCCTCTGCTGCTGTTGCTGCTCCTATTAAAGATTTCCCCGGGCTACTTGGCTCTCCTTTTGCTGCTCTAGCTGCGCCTTTTGCTGCCTGAAGAGCAGCAAAACAGTAAACTTGTTTAAATAAAATTTTTCAAGAAAAATTTATTTTATTTGATTTAGAATACCCAAAAGACATTTCAGGGGCCAAGAGGACCCCAGGCTTGCTGCTGTGGGGCCCCGCTGCTGCAGCTCTGTAGGGCCTTACAGCAGCAGCAGCAACTGCTGCTGCTGTGGGGCCCCGCTGCTGCAGCTCTGTAGGGCCTTACAGCAGCAGCAGCAACTCCTGCTCCTGTGGGGCCCCGTGGGGCCCCGTGGGGCCCCAAAGAAGAGGGTTTCATGGCCACTTGGAGGATAAAAGAATACTTTTGCATTTGGGAATGAGAAATTGAGAAAAGATAGGGTTAGAGGCCTCAAAGTTTTGTAATTTGTTATTTATTTTGTTTTATTTCTTCAATAATTTGATAAGCATTTATGTATGTGGCCTGAAGAAGCAAAAAGAGCTTTTGTTGCAGTGACTCTCAAGGCCATCAACCCCACTGCGCTCTGCCCTAGAGGGAGCTCAGCCAAACCCTAAACCCTAAACCCTAAACCCTCCTGGCGATAGAAGCTCTTCTTCGGAACGAAATTGCTGACTTTTTCTCCAAAGTCTTGCATGCGCAGTGGCTAGCGTGGTGTCCAGACACCCCAAATATTGCTCATTGCGTGGGCCAGGTCCATACTTTTGCATTTTATCTTTTTTTGTTTTTAAAAGTTCAAATTCACTGAAATTAAAGCCATTATGGGTGCATGCAGAGTCCGTCAGCTAAATTGAAGAAGCAGAAGCTCCCTGAATTGTTTTCCATGAAAGAAAATAAAATTAAAAAGCAAAATTTATTTTATTTTGCAACTAATGCTGCATTATTTGGGACAACTTTCCGCGGTTAGCTGTTCTTCAGGACCCCCCTGGCTTCAACTTTTCTTTGAACAGGGCTCTGTAACAGCCGCGGGAGGGGCATTCTTGAGCTTCTGTCAGTTAATTGCATTTTAAAAACTTATTTAAAAGATAATTTCCGCTTTTTAATGCAGAATAATGCAGAGAAGACCGAGCCGGCGGTCAGTGGGGCTGGCGGCTGCAGGCGCATGCGTGGGATCAGCCCGGGGCAGTGCTGGGGTGTACATACACCAGGAGTTCGCGGCTGCCGCTGGCGAAAGCGCTTTTCATTTCGATTTAGTTAATTTAAAATTGGAAATGGCGGCCACTGAAATTGCAGAAAAAAGGGAGGACGAGGGGGCCCCCCCTGCGCCCAGCGCTGCTCAGCCCGCAGAGGTATCTTCTTGCAAATTTGCTGCTGGAGCTCCCAGCGCTTTGCTGCAGCCTTTTGCCTATTTTTAAGGTTTAATTTAATTATTTTTTGTCTTTTTTTTCTTTTAATGCTTTCTTTCCTTCCCTTCTTCCTCCCGGCCTTCCGCAGCGCGAGCAGCCGCCTCAGCACTGCGCAGAGCGCTTTGCTGCTCCTTTTGCTGCGCCTGACAACTTTGCTTCTTCTCGCTGCAGCAGCAGCAGCTGCAGCTGCTGCTGCGCTGCTGCTGCTGCTGTGGGATGCCGATATGAGCGCGCATCTCGGGTGTACGTCCACCTCCCTGTTTGTCTGCAGCAACCGGCCGCCCAAGCATTTGACTTCGGTGAAAGGAGAAAAAAGAAAAAGGAAAAGAAGCCAGAAGACCAGGGTGAGAGAAGCCACTGCTCCTCAGCAGCAGCAGCGGCAGCATCAGCAGCAGCAGCAGTGCGAACCGCAGCAGCAGCAGCAGCAGTAGCAGCATTTTGTGTGATGCGCTGCTGCTGCTTGTGTCTGTCAGCTGCTGAGGCTGCTTCTGAGGCCTTTGTGGACGGCTCCGGGCAGCTGTTCGTGCGGGGCCATGTCTACAGTTACGAAGAGGTACTGCTTCGCCGTAACCGCTAAATCAGGGTTTAGGGTTTAGGGTTTAGGGTTTAGGGTTTAGGGTTTGCTGCGTCGCTGTGCGGCTCCCCTGGGGTCCCTCCTGCTCGAATTTGCGCGCTCTTTTGCGTCATTTTGCTTATTTTTAATTTAAATTTATTTTTATTTATTTATTCATTTATTTATTTATTCATTTATTTATTTATTTCAGATGCTTAAACGCATTCAAGAACTCATTGTTAGGAACAACCCTGACTTGGCGGGCTCAAAGCGCTACACCATAAAGCCGCCTCAAGTTGTTCGCGTCGGATCAAAGAAAGTATATTTATTTATTTATTTATTTATTTAAATTTTGATTTGTTTATTTTAATTGTTTATTTAAATGAGTTCAAGAGTTCGGTTTTAATTCTAGTATTTAATCTTAATTGGTTTTATTTTGGCCAGTAAAATGCCGCCTCTCGATATGCTGCTTCTTGCTAACTTTTTAAATTGCCATTTGTTGGTTTTGCTGGTGCTGCTGCTGTTGCTGCTGTTGCTGCTGCTGAGCAGCAGCAGCATCCGCAGCAGCAGCAGCAGCAGCAGCAGTTCTTGGGGCCTTTTGAGTTTGAGTGTACATACACCGCAGGCGTCCTGTTTGAGCCATCTGCTGCTCGGCGCTTTTCGTTTCTTTTTTGCTGCTGCTTCATTTTATTATTTATTTATTATTTAGTTTAATTAATTTAATCAATTTATATATTTAATTTATTTATTTAATTTATTAATTTATTGTTTTATTTTGTTTTTAGGTGGCATGGATTAACTTCAAAGACATCTGCGGAATTATGCACAGACCCAGCGAGCACGTCCTTCAGTTTGTGTTGGCGGAGTTGGGTAAGTCCTGAAGCCATTTTAATTCGCTAAATGAGGGTTTAGGGTTTAAATGAGGGTTTAGGGTCCAAGACGGGGGTTCGTTTGAAGTTTAAAGTGAGGGTTTAGGGTTTGGAGCGAAGGCTGCCTAAACCCAAAGCAGCAAAAGGTAGTTGCTGCTTGCTGCAGCAAAAGCCTTTTTGCTGCTGCAGCAGCAGCAGAAGCAAAAGCAGCTTTGACTGCTTGTGGGGGCTAGGCACCTGTTGCTGGTTGCTGCAGCAGGAACCTTATCTGCTGCCTGCGCAGCAAGTGGCTTTTCGCTGCTGCTGCTGCTGCTGCTGCTGCTGCTGCAGCAGAAGCAAAGACAGCTTTTGCTGCTTGTGGGTGTAGGCACTGAGGGCTCCATAGCGGGCGATGGGCAGCTCGTCTTGAAGGGCAAATACGGCCCAAAACACAT